AGAAGAAGAAGAGGAGGAGGATGAAGGTGGAGGAAAGGGATGGAAAAGGAACAAGGGTGGTCGGTAAGAGAAGACGATGCGTATATATTCTTTTTCGGGACTGACGAGCATCAAGTTCTTCATCTCTCTCTCTTTCTCTCTTTCTCTCTCTCTCTCTTTCTCTCAATCTATCTGCCTTTCTCTCTCTGTTTCTCAGAGCACGAATACAAGCACAAACGAAAGGAGCGGACAGCGGATCCGGCGCTGACGCTCATTACGATGATTGGCAGATTCAATTAACGAGGAGCCGAGCTCCACCGTAGCGCGGGGTCGCGCCGGCTTAACCTCGGCTAAATATTATTAATAATAATCAGCTCATTACCGGCTCCATTAATTATCCGACTGCATACGCGACTGCATACCCGATATCTGCCTCCAGGAGCGCACTAAATTCGATTCTCCTGTTCTCGAACGGGAACGAGAACGATATTAACCGTATGCCCGTGTAGATCATTCACTACTACCAACTTATCTCCTTTCTACGAAATGATTCTTAAAATGATTTCTAAGTACTTGTGTAAGTACTTATCCATCCCACGTAAAGAATGTATATACTATATATATATATATATATATATATATACATGTGGAACGTTCAAATGACCATTTTGTACTTCTTGTCTCCTTTTCTTTTTTCTGTTTCTTCTTTTTCTTTTTTTTTTTTTTTTTTTTTCATTGCATTCGTTAATGAAATATTATTTTCTTTTTCCTATCGAGACATAATTATTCAATTGAGATAATTATTCTGAATGCAAATAAATTCATTCTTTATTCTTCCTATCCTTTACTTCTTTATTTTTTTATTTTTTCTTATTTTTTTCTTTTTTTTTTCTTTCCTTTACTACACGAAACAATACGCAGGATAATTGAAGTCGTTAGATTTTTACGTATCTATAAGGTACATATCTGTCGATATAAGAGACAAAGAGATAGAATGGATTGAGAAAGGGTGAGTTCAAAGGGATACCGCCAATAGAAATTTTTTGACAAATCACGACTACCGTTGCCCATGGCTACGTATAACTACCTTACATATGTATCTAAAGAAAAGATTTTCAATCGGGAGTACACGGGATATAATACGCTCGGTGTTACGTGCACGTATCTATCTACTTATTTAACATATGTGTTAGTGATATTACATATACACATACAAACGAAGATACGCACACATGTAAAAAGGAATATTAATCCATTTAACAAACTCATTATCATCGGTGAGATACGCCGAACGTTTACCGTGCGGCGCGCAACTCGCCTTTACGGCGCGAACTTGGAGTCGTCCTATCTTCTTCTTCTTTCTTCGGAGAACCCCGGGCGTATTAGCGAGTTGGCACCCCTGCGGCTTGATTTACGGGCTCCAACTAACGAGCCTCGGAGCCTGCCTGAGTCGACCGAGCGAGAGTGCTCGACCAAGAGAATCATCCAAGTTGGTACATAGCCACCAACATCCGAGAACAAGCACGACTCCGGAGCTAGACGGCGGCAGCTACTTCGCGAACGAAACTAAAGACTTATAACTTACCTACTCCTTACTCAACCCGTCGGATTGATGCGAATGGACCAAAAAAAAAAAAAAAAAAAAAAAGAAAAAAAAAAAGAAAAGAAAAGAGATTGGAAGGGTGATGCGCACGGTTATCGAGACACCCTTGACCTTATACCTTTCTGATTTTGACCTCATTCCACACTATGACTTTTAACGATAGCCACGACTATCACGTTAAATCAGTTATTCGTATATTCTCTCGTATTAATTTATTCTACTTGAAACATATCTACTATGTTAAATCGTAATATCGATTTTATAATGTTTCATATAAATATTTATTATAGATAATTCCGATTGTTTCGTAGAAATAATGTATGAATTTAGCAGACATGTTATATGGTATATTTCGTTGTTAAACTTAACATTAATTTTAAAATGTTAACTTAGCCACTCCTATTATTGTATCACGTAATCTAATATAATTTATATCGATCATACATTTATTCGTAATCAAATGAAACTATATATTTGTAAGTTATTAAAAATATGGAAAAAAATGGAGTCGTTTCAGAAAGACGTTTCTCTCTCTCTTTCTCTCTCTCTCTCTCTCTCTCTCCCTCTCTTTTCTTTTTTTTTTTTTTCTTGTCGATCGTTAAAATATCCATAGGTAATACGTAGGAAGTTTGTACAAGGAAGGAGTTAAAGAAGCCGGTTAGAACGAGTATAGTTTGGTTTCAACTCGAAAGCTCGAAACGAAGGCGACGAATACATAGACCGTGGCAGACCCCGGGGGCTGATTGGCCCGTATTTGGTTCTAATTAAGGCACCGGCGTCGGTCATTAGCGGCCGCGAAAACGAACAACATTGTTCTGCGAACGAGACGAAAGGTAAAACGTACCGACCGAAGGCGCGCGCGGCATAAATCAACTTTCAAAGATACCTGTCGCCTTCGCTCGTTTCACGACCGTGTAA